AGGGAAGGGAACACAGAGGGTACGCAAAGCTTTGGCGTGGCGAACGACCATTAGGGAGCCGAACGGCCATAGAGACGCATCGTTGCGTGCTGGGCATTTTTTTTTTCCTTTTTTCTTTTTTTCCTTTCCACTTCCGTTCCCGCTCCACTTGGGCCATGGTCGTTCCCGAAGAATTCGCGAACTATCGCTGGAGCAATTTGAAGAAAAAATGTAGGGACATATACGTGTTGTGTTATTTTTGTTCATCTTATTGGTTGGATCATTTCATTGGGAATTGAAGTGACTGAAATTGGTAGGAAGGAAGTAAAGGTGTTGTTTGCATTTGTTTCAGGGGAGGATGAGGAATGGAGCGACTCGGAGAAGACACCGTCGGTGAGCAGCGGAGTGGAGGGCGGTGGATCGGCCGTTTCCAGCCCGATCGCGCCGGTCGTCGAAGAAGAATCGAGTTTGCCGCCACCACCGAGACTGAATCCCCCTTCCTCGTCCGTTGCGATCGCGAATTCGGCCGCTGAGGATATCCGATTGAGGCTCAGCGTGCTCTCCGAAGACGCTCGGAAACGACTGGCCAGTCTTACCGAAGATATCGAGGTAAAACTCCATTCGAGAAAAAATACGAACGAACAATGTAACTTGTATGTATTTAATAACATCGATTCGCGCAGGTTGCAAGAAGCTTGAGAGATCGACATGTCACCCCGAGAGCCACCAATCAAACGCGAGAATCCAGCCCGAAGGACACGGACGAAGAGTCGAGCCTGGTTATGGTCAAAGAAGAGGACTGCCAACCGAGATCGTCGTCCTCATCGTCGTCCTCGACCAGAAGACGAGAATCCATGTGTAGAAGAGACTCGGAGGACTCGTCGAGGCGATCGAACACGGATGACCCGCCGTCCGAGAAGAAGCTGAAACTCGACGACGAAGCTGCACCAAGACTGAGACTCAATCCTAGTCTGGCGACGGATCCTGCTCTTCGACCCGCCGCCGTAGTCGCGCTCACCGTCAAACCGGAGAATACCTCGCCACCGAATCCTGTGCCACCTCTTCCGGCTGGACTTCAGAATGGTAACTTTACTTCCTTCACAATTGCACGATTCGATCGTTCATTCAAGTCTTCATATCAAATATAACATGCAGACGGACAGAACAGACAATTAGTTAGTCAATCGCGTAACTTAACTCGAAGGGACTGACATTGCAGCGATCGCCTCGGGTCGTCTATTCGTACTTCCAACCGATGGAAAGGAGACGATCACCGTGGAACCAGCCAGGCCGGCGCCTCTCATCTGTCCCCCATGCGGCATCCGTTTTAGCTCAGCGAGCACCCTCGAGGCGCATCGTACATTTTACTGCGCTCATCGTCCCCGGCTGGAGGAAGACGCCACCAACGAGGAAGACGAGGAGAAATCCAACAAATTCGAAGTGAGGAAAGCGTACGCCTGCCCTCACTGCTCGTACAGCGCGGACAAGAAGGTCTCGTTGAACAGACACATGAGGATGCACGCTGCATCTCCTGCGCCGCCCACGATACCCACTGCACCGACCACGGCCACCACTCCGGGAAGTGGCGCGGCAACTGCCTCGAACGGCTCGTTGAACGAAGAGGCGGAGAGATATTGCAGGAACTGCGACATTCGATTCAGCTCCCTGAAGACATACAGAGCGCACAAGACGCATTACTGCAGCACCAGGCACGTAGTTAAAGACACACCGCCGGCGGCTACGGTAGCTTCTTCGTCGGTGAAAGCTTCGCCACCAACGAGCGCGAGTCCCGGTGAATCGCCGCCTCCGCAGCCTTGTCTGGCGCTGCCCACGAACCCTATTTTGATCGTACCATACTCTCTGTTCCGGGGTGCTAGCGTCCTGGCGGCACCCACTTTGCCCGCGCCTGATACTGCGTGCTTCCTTCTTCCGAACGGTACGTGTCTCGATAGTCTTGAAATTACTCTTATCTTATCACCTGCGGCCAATGAACACGATCGAGTCCACGTATCGACGAGTTGAAATTCAGTTTCATTTTCTCGTAGGTCATCTTCAACCGATGACAAGAGGCCTGGCTACCACGGCGCAGAACGCCGTGGTCGAGCCTTCGCCGGTTCTCCGAGCAGCGAACAAACCAACGACGCCGGCATCTGTCGTCGCATCGTCCACGTCGCCATCAGGCTCAGCGCCACTCGATCTGAGCGTTCGAAAATCACCGGCTCATCAGGACGAGAAAGAGAACAGGGTGTCGCCGGCACCGTCTTCTCTGCCTCCTCCACCTGGCAGTCCAAGGTCCAGAGGAAGCGGAAGTCCTAGAGCAAGATCGATCGGCTCTACTCCTACGGCAGCTGGGACTGTTGCACCTCCTCCTCCACCGACGGAACTCGCTCTCAGACTGGCTGAGCTTCCGCCACCGCCTGTTCCTGGTGTTCTCGTGAAGCACGGTGTCTCGAGGTGAGCCACCTACTCTCGACGTTTCGAGAGTGAGAGAAAATCAGAATAAAAATAAACGATTGAATTTCGCACGATCGTTAAATCGATTTGATTTCCAGATGCAAAGAGTGTAACATCGTATTCTGCCGGCATGAAAATTACGTGGTGCATAAAAAGCATTATTGCCAGGCGAGAGAAACTACGGTCAGCAATAGTTCGCCGCCACCCGGTACACCCTCACCACCCCTGGTGCAGTTAATCTGCGCCGCGTGTGGCATCAAGTTCGCATCTATGGATAATCTAGTAGCTCATCAAGCGTTTTACTGTCCCAAAAGGCCGGAACCTCAGGAACATCATTCGCGTTGCTCCAAATGCAAAGTTAGTGCCTTCTTTTATAAATCGAACTTTTTGAAGATTTTAATTTGAAATTTAACGTACTCCTTTCCAGGCTATAATTGAACCTGGAGGCACTCATACTTGTAGCAGCGGCCCGACCGGCGGTTGGAGATGTCCCGTTTGCGGTGCGGTTAGTCCAACAGCCGGAGCAGCTCAACGTCACATGGATGCTCATCAGGGTGTGAAAGCTTTCAGGTGCACGATCTGTCGTTACAAAGGAAACACGTTGCGAGGGATGAGAACTCACATCAAAATGCACTTCGAGAAACGCGGGACTGATCTACAGGTATCGTACCATCACGAAGCTCGCAAGAAAAATATATTATTCTTCCTGCCAATTGATATATCCCAATCCTCCCAATCTGATAAATCCTTCAATTTGTCATTTATTTAGGAGGAGAACTACATAACGTGCGTACTCGATGACGAAACAGTCCTGCCGACACCGGAGCCAGCTCCAGCTACGACGCCCGAGGAAATCCCTGGCGAGGTGCAGGTAAATGGAAAGACCGAAGTTCGAAAGAGTCCTCAGCCACCTCCGCCGCCACCGCCGCCACCACCGCCGCCGCCGCCGACGACGACGACGACGACGACGATGACGACGACGGTGACCAACAAAGTGAAACAAGAACGCGAAGACACGCCACCTCCTGAAGAGAGCTCAGACCCAAACAAGAGTGGCCCGCGTTACTGCAGGTCGTGCGACATCAGCTTCAATTACTTGAGCACGTTCATCGCCCACAAGAAGTTCTACTGCTCCAGCCATGCCGGCGAGGCGAGCAACAACAACAACAACAATAACAATAATAATTCGAGCAGTCACGCAACGACGCCTCCAAGCAGCAGGACCGAGGCGTCAGTACTTTAAAAGAAAGACTTTCGACGAACCGATGGGACTGTTAATTGTTGCCAGTTTATACATACATATATATATATATATATAATTATATATATATATATATATATAATTGCCGACTATCTGATTTAGTTGATTATCCTTGTGTGATTTCTGTTAATCCAGGGAATTGTTTGTACTTATAAATTCAGTTGTCCAACGTGTACATACGTGCGTGAAAGAGGAGCTGCGTGAAACTGAAAAACGACGTTAAGTAGAAGCAAGAGGGAAGTTAGGTGATCGTGGCGATGTTCGATAGGTGAAACAGGAAACACATATGTAA